AGAATTGAATCACAGGACGATACATATTTTTTCAGATAGTCAAGTGGCGCTCCAAACACTTGACTCCATCTACCTGACATGTAGGTAGTATGGAAATAAGGTCCATCTGATGTGGACATCAGGACATACAGGTCTAAAGTTTCGCGAAACAGCCGACACTTTGGCAAAGAGTAGGGCGAGCACTCTCTCCATAGGGCCTGAGCCAGCGATCGGGATTACGTACAAATAACCTCTGTAAGGGTAGAAGAAAAGATCCACCAACACTGGGAGGGATTAAGTTAACCCATGTTGCGACAATTATCCCAATCTTAACACAAAAGGTAACACACCCACTGCTGCGGCAAAACAGGAATAGCCTTAAAGCAATTACTAGAGTCAGGTAAAATCTTTGAAAATGCAACTGGAACTGCGGGAAGTGTTAATCGTTAACCGAGTTATTGTGGTCCCAGTTGACACAATCGTGTTTCTGCGGACCAACTTTCCAGACCATGTCATCTCTCGGCGATCAAAATTGGCCACCAAGATCGCGCAATCTAACGCCAATGGACTTCTTCCTCTTGAGCTATGTGAAGGAAAAGCCACAAACAGTTGAACGCATTAAAGAAGAGGTATGGCGCGATATCGACGAAATAGAGCCACAGTTGTACGAAAACGTTATCCACAATTTCAAGAAAAGACTGACCCTGGCCAGCGGTTTCGTGGTGGCCATTTACCGTATGTTGAATCGCAACTATTCCTCTTCATCTTGAAATATAAATACTCGCAAAAGAAATTGTGTTTTTCATGAAAATCAAATCCGGCGCTCTTGAGACACCCAGAAGACCTCATGGTGCTGTGTGGTGGATGATCAAGTAATTCCAATGATTCTTGCCCAGCTGTGTCTGTGTTCTTGCCACAAAGTGAGCAGAATGAACTTTTTTGCGTTTGAAAACCAAATTGCTGGGCGCACCCCACTATCGGCCGGCTTACTGACTGACTTGGTAACAAACAAAGCACTATAAACACAAGACCAACACCGACAGTAATGTAAATAATATCCAAGGTTGAACGTGGCAGGATGGGCGAGTATGAGGCATTATCGGTTCTTACCTTAAAAATGGCCATAGTAAAACAAAGGATTTCACTATAAAAAGATAAACCTTAACGCAAAGGGTTAAACAGAGCGCGAGATCCCAAATTGCCAAGACAATCTAATCAATTCCACTTTTTACTTTGTTCCAGGATGCCTTCTGGCTCGACCAGTATTCCTGGTCCCTGTTCAAAGCGATGTCTCACATGTTGTGTATAGGGTACGGTAAGTTCCCGCCACAGTCGCTCACCGACATGTGGTTGACGATGTTGTCTATGATCTCCGGAGCCACCTGCTACGCGCTCTTCTTGGGTCACGCCACCAACTTGATACAGAGCTTGGACTCGTCCAGGCGACAGTACAGAGAAAAGGTAGGTTTTGGTCAGGAAGACTAGAGATAGGAGGTTAAACTGTATATGGGATTGACGTATTCGTATGAAGGCAATCCTGTCGCCAAGGAGGGCGTGGCTCTCGGAAATCTAGTGTGCTTTGGACATCTCGTAGAGCGTCTGCTTCGCGGTTTAGAGGCATGATGATAAATAGGGAGAGATACAAAATCTGAAACTCATTTCTTGTGCAAGGCCTAACAACAGACGCGTGACGTCACCACGAGTAGGCCGGTCAGCGCTAGTGAATAATATATTATTGCAGCATATTTAATATACTCTACCTAATGTAAATAACAAATAATTCAGAAAAGTGTTTTTGGTTTATGAAGGCAACTTGGTGGAAAGTATTAAAGTAGTTATTAACTATTTTCACCCTGATTTTCACTGATATTTCATCCAACATTAGATTAATAAGTTGATGTTATAAAAGCTTGCTAAAAATGATAAATTCTTCAATGAATAACCCCATGTTAGTCACAACCGATCAACAAAATTTCACAGGAATATGTGAACAATTTACTATTATTAGAGGTATGATATAATACTACTTGAAAGTTATATAAAAAATGTAGTGCTTGTAAAACAGTTGTGTCCAGCAAGAACCAACGAGGAGGTCTGAGGTAAGCACTTGCCAGGAAAGGAATAAGGAAGATAAGAAGGAAAAAGTGTAGGATAAATGATAAGAAAAACAGATAAAATCAAAGTAAAATAAACAACAGAAAAAACATAACAAAGATTAACGAAAACTTAATAAAAACTCTTAGAACAAACAAATAACAGCACAAAATAATAACAAAAATTAAAAAACAGAAAACAAGTATCAAAAATAACAAAAATTAGAAAAACGAAAATTAAAGTGCTAAATTCTGAATATGTACAAATAAACATTTATCTACAGCTATGTAAATGTTGCGGCCTCATGTGAATGTAGTCAATTTACGTTTCTTTGCTTTATTCGCGCTTGCAAAGCTGTCGTTCCTTTTGGCACAATAATTTTTCAAAAATGTATTGACTGTTTTATAACATAATCTGGTCAATGGACTGTGCAACGCGAAAATGAAGTGTCGTGATTATTATCACTCAGATTGATAATTATCAACTGAGAAAGAGCGCGTCTCTTATCAGTGATTTCTAAAAATGATTCTACGTCACTTTCCAAAACTTTATTGAAAATTATATAACTTAGCATGACAATGTTAATAATTGGATCCTGTGGGAATTTTAAGCCACCTCTACTGAAATTTTGTATAATATTGTGCGTCTTCTATATCAATACCATCTACTTTTGTCAAATTTTCCTTACAATGATCGCAGTGATTTTTCTTTAATACGGCATAACAACAGTAAGCGGCTAAGTAGGTGATGACAGGGATATCATCCTTTATACTATCAATAACAGACTGTAAAATTTCAATTTCCCGGAAAAAGTGGTAATTATTAAAATTGTGTGGAATTTCATCTATTTCTAAATGATCATTTTCACAGAATTTATCTGTTTGTATATCGCCATAGCGAGACTTCAATGACATCAGGCTTTGAGTTCGTAACTTTTTCTCGGATTCATATAACTGACGAATTGATTTATTATATTGACCCGCTGCCAGTTGACGATACTTACCAAATCTATTTTCCAATGAGTCAGTTTGAAATTTACCTAACAATATATAATTACTGTGCAGTTCAGATTTACAGTACCTTACTAATTCCAATAAGCCATATACTGTATGATGTAGTGCAGTGTAAGTCTGACTAGTTAATCTTTTTGAAAATTTTGCTGGATCATTCCACTCTTCTAGCCAATCTAGCATTTTTTGCAAGAATGTCAGCTTACTGTCATCACCTTGTCCTTCACTGTTGGAGCAAACAATAGGCTCTGCATAAAGGTCATTTAACCGCTTTCCTTTCAGTGGACTTTTTACATTGACAATTCTCCACCATTTCCATATAATATCTATGAATTTTGCTGTCTCTTCGGAGTGCTGTATGTTTTTGATACTGCATCTATTACAAATGAGTCAAATATCTTGAGAGCTAAATGAACATTTTGTCTTTCAAGGTTGGTAGGATATAAGGATTTTATCTTAACACAAAAAAATGTATAACCAAGTTCTTCTAATATAATAATAATAATAAGTTTTTTTGTCATATTTTTACTACAAAATAATGGACACCTAAGCTATAAGCTTGTGTGTGTCATACAATATACAAATTCAATGCATGGCTAATGGTTATAAGGTGTATTATGAGCAAATGTATATAAAAAAAAAAAGAAATAAAAAAAAAATTAGATAGAAACGAAATTACTGAGTTGAGTCAACCTACCGTCGATGCAAGCATGTCAAAGTTATTTAAGATGAACTTCTTAAGTCTTTTTTTGAAACTATAGTTCGAGAGGATTTTATATTCTAGGGGTAATTTATTATACATCCTAATACCATCAAACTTTATGCATTTTTGGCAAACAGATTTATTCACTCTGGTATAGGTGTAACTTACGTTTATTTTAGTTCTTGTTTCATAAGCGTGGCTGGTTGGAACATTGTTTCGGGAGTGAACAAATTTTAGAGCAGCAAAAATATATAAACCTCTAACATTCAAAAGATCATTTTCAATGTAAACAAATCTGCAACTTGACCTACATGGGATACGAAAAATAGTCCTGACAATATAATTTTGCGTGGTTTGTAGTATTTTTAAAGTACTAGTGTATGCGGCTCCCCAAATACTTATCCCGTAAGTTAGTAGAGACCCCACAAACGAGTTATATATTGAGAGAAGACTCTTTCTGCTTAAAATATTCCTAAGAATGAAAAACTTATGAATAATTCTCCTTAATTTCGATGCCAAAAGCTCGGCATGACTCTGCCATTTTAAATTACTGTCAACAATGATTCCTAAGTATCTAATAACTTCAACTCTTTCGACAGTGTCCGCACTATCATTTATAATTAATGTTCGGTGGTGTAATGGCATGACTGCTTTGGTTGGAGAAAACGTTACATACTTAGTTTTAGAGATATTAAGTTTAAGTAAATTGTTATCCAACCAGCATTTGACTTTATTTAATGACAACTCGGCATTCCGTATTGCGTCATCCCATGAATGACCAGTGCAAACTAAAACAGTATCGACTGCATATGATATCATCTTACAGTTGAAATTACATCGAAGTAGTTCATTTATGTATATGAGGAACAGTGTTGGTCCCAAAACCGTCCCCTGAGGCACACCTATTTTGATCTTTTGAATGTTGCTTAAATCTGACCCTACCTTAACTTGTTGTAATCGATCAGCAAAATAGTTCTCAAATAAGTTCAGAACTCCACTACGAACTCCAACACTTTCTAGTTTCTTTAATAAAATTGTATGAGATACTGAATCGAAAGCCTTTTGAAGATCTAGGAAAACTGCAACAGTCTTATTTCCATTTTGAAAATTGTCAAGCACTTATCCTGTAAGTTCTTGTAGAGATTGCTCTGTATTGCAATTTTTGCGGAACCCAAATTGACAGTTCGATATTATGTCATATTTCTCAAGAAAAGAACAAAGTCTGTTATTCAAACACTTCTCAAAAATCTTCCCAAATACATTGATAACTGAAATAGGTCTATAATTGAACATATTGTCTTTACTTCCAGATTTAAATATTGGTGTCACTATGCTTTCTTTAAATAGGCGAGGAATTCCTGAGGTTGATAATGTGAGTTATAGGGTGACTGATATACTTCATGATCATCTTGATAGTTTTAGTGTGTAAGCCATCTTTTCCGGGTGCGCTATTATTTTTCAGATTACAAACTATTTGCTGTAACTCTATGTTATCCTCTGGAGTTAGAAACATAGAGTGAGCAATGTTGACGACATGAGGATCTGATGTATCAAGAATTGAGTTTTGATCAATCTGACTTGTTATTTGCTCACCTATATCAACAAAATATTTATTAAAAACACAGGCTATATCAGTGGGAGCGTCCAGCTGCTGATTATTGTGATTAATTGATTTTACGTCATTTTTTTTTATTTTGCCAGCATTAGTTACCTCATTAATAACATCCCAGCTCTTCCTATAGTTATTACCAGCTAAAATGAGTTTTTGTGTATAATATTGATTTTTAGAGATCTTAATAAGATTAGTTACTCTGTTTCTGTAGGAGATGTAGGACTGTCTCAATATCAAATTATCATTATCTTTCGTCAAACTCTGTTTCAACTCATCCCTCTTCTTGATCGAAGTAAGAATACCGTCAGTCATCCATGGCTTGCGTTTTCTGGTCTTACTATTTATTTTTAAATAATACGTTGAATGATCTATGCCTTTATATAATTCATTATAATTCATTATATATATACATATATTGTATAATAGATTATGATCAATATTAGAAACAGGACAGATTTGAACAACTTCTTTGAAATTGGAGTAGAAGCTTGAAATCATAAACACATAGTCTGTTGTAGCTAATGAAGTATTATTAATTGACGTTCCAACAATATTACCCCCTTTGAAATCTAAATATGGCTGAATGTGTATTTCATCCATCAATAAAATCATGTACTTGCTCCTCGCCAGGTTTTACAAATCTGAAAAGGTTTTTTGCATAGCCTAAAAAGTTATATCTCTCATGGGGAACTGGATCGACCATCAATTTTGGTGTGGTAAAATAAGTGCTCCATGGCTCCTAATAAATCTATATGAATGTGGACTGATTGTATACAACATAGAGCAAAACACTATTGTTTCTGATGAGGAACTGTGTCTGTTCTTCTGACTAATAGCAAGCTTTAGTTGCTCACAAATAAATTGAATGACAGTGTGGGTCTCTTCATCGGTGAATAGTTCTGTGCTATTTAAAATATTGTAAGCATGGTTGATAGTGGCTCTGAACTGGTGTGTACCTGAATCTTCCCTTGAAGCATTTGCATTCTCAGAAAGAACATGCAGAACATCATCCAAGTTGTGTATATTAGATAATAAAAATGGAGTTTTAATATTACCTGAGTTGAGTAACAATTCTTGGGAGTACATATACGTTTTTACATTGAGATCTATATCAACAATTACAGAGCGAGTTATGATGGGTGCTGGTTTATATTCTAACTTGAACAAAGTAACTTTATGAAAAATTTTATGCCACCCATATGGACATTGCCATGAACTGAAAACTGTGAGAAAGCCTGAATAATTTTGAAAACAAGTTGATTTTTGATAGGAGTAATAATCATCAATGCTAGTGTGCAGTGCTTTAAGTAGTTGTTCTTGTTCCTTGTCCCTCAATTTCTCATCTCGGCTTCTTCTTCTTGATATGTCCTTTGAAAGGTATTTTGGACAATTTGCAAGGATACTTGGAATTACATCTGCCTTTAATTTTGGATACTTAAGGGGTACAGCAATGGTCCTACCTGTCATGGAAGGTGGATTCCCAAATGATGCTGTCCTCAGCAAAGTATACCCTCTATTTTTTTCCATTTGACTCTAACAGCTCAATAGTAAATATTATTTCGGTCAAACTTTGTATGTGAAAGTTAATAGGAAAACCATGTATGGATTTCAAAGCCTAATTCTTATTCGAAAAATAAAACACTGCTTCATCTGTATCATATTTATCATTAAAAGAATATCATTTACTAAATTTTCTTTTCAAAGTTTTCTTTTTACAGTCAGGATATACGCGCCTGTGTTCTTGTCCGCAACCTAATAAAAATTGTTTTTGTTCTTCAGCAATGATTAAACCATGGGGGTTTTGCATTAACTTGACTGCCCTTTCTGCCGTAACGTTAACTGCTGTCAGTGCTTGCACTTTATTCTTAGCGTGTTGAAAATAATCATTATGTGGCCATGAAGTTGAACATTCTTCGAGAAAACTGTCATCAATTTCACTGGACAACAAATTTTAGTTTTTTAATTGTATCTTGTGGGAAAAGTGCACTTCTTTGTTAATTTTGGGGCGCTGAATCCAAAAATGACAAAAAATTAGTTGCGGTTTAGAAAAAAAACTTTTTATTTTTAAGGATATATTAAAAAAAGTAACAAGATTCATATACTTATAAGAATAACTATATGCGCTGTCTTTTTGCTGTTCTTTTATGGATCGTTTCTGGAGCATCTCTACCAAGAGTCCAACAGTAGTCTGCAAGCATGGAAGGATTCCACTTTCCCTGGTACCTTTTTTCCATTGTTGAAATATCCTGATGAAAAGGTTCGCCGTGCTCATCACTTACGGCTCCGCAATTGTCAGGAAAAAAGTCCAGGTGTGAGTGTAGGAAATGTATCTTAAGAGACATATTACAGCCCATCTTTTGATACGATGACAGCATATTTTTGACAGGGGTTTTATAGTTGTCAGCTTTTCTATTTCCCAAGAAATTAGTGACCACCAGACGGAAATCATTCCAAGCAGTTTTTTCAATACCTGTTAAAGTGTTTTCAAACTGTGTATCTTTCAAAATATTTCGAATCTGTGGCCCAACAAAAATACCTTCTTTAACCTTTGCCTCACTTAGTCTTGGAAATTTCTGACGCAGGTATTGAAAAGCTGACCCATCTCTATCTAATGCCTTGACAAAGTTTTTCATTAGGCCCAACTTGATATGCAGTGGTGGTAATAATTTTTTTTTCGAATCTACTAATGGCATATGCTGAACATTTTTTTGACCTGGCTCTAGGAATTGACGAACAGGCCAGTTTTGTCTGGTGTAATGAAGTGCCTTTGCCCGACTGTCCCATTCACACAAAAAAACAGCAAAACCTTGTCTAGCCTAGCTGCAGCCCAAGTAAAAGTGCAACAACTTTCAAATCGCCACAAATATGCCATTGGTGCTCATCGTATTTTATGCATGTCAATAGGTACTTCATATTGTCATATGATTCTTTCATGTGAACTGCATACCCTACAGGAAGAGATGGTAAAATATTTCCAATATGCAATAACACTGCCTTTAAACTCAATGTTGAACTGTCTATAAACAATCTCCATTCTTCTGGGTTATAGTTTATATTTAAATCCGCCAGTAAACCGTTAATGTTACTACAGAAAACCAAGTTATTCTCCATATTGAAAAATGGTTCTAAGTCTTTGTGGCGTTTATGAAAAACACATACCGAAACATCGTCTTCTAACAAGTTCCAGTGCTGCAGTCTTGATCCAAGTAACTCTGCCTTACATTTTGGAAGTTCTAAATCTCTTACAAGATCATTTAATTCTGACTGTGTTATTTTATGCGGTTGGTGGCATGACGTGCTCGGTATAAAATCAGGATCTCTTGACGTTGATGGCATATCTTCTTCCTGACGAATCACTCGATCGCCATGATCTGATTCGTTTTCTGATTCGCAAGTGTAGGATTCTGGGGGTTTTGGAATAGGATTTTCGTCACTGTGAGGCACAGGTCTCATCGCAGATGGTATGTTTGGGTAGTTAATAACCGATTTTTTTCCTTGGACATACCTGTGGCTTGTCCAACACAAGGTACCATGCAAAAGTAACAATCATTAATATGAGTAGATGTCTTATGGGGATTCGGTCTCAAAACTTCCAAAATCCGCCACCAGAGGCGCTGACGTCGCGCGCCATTGACAGGTTGTTGGACGGAATCTGTAATCATGAGTTGGGGATTCCGCCGCTAGATGGCGCTGTCAAACCAAACGGAATCTGTGTGTCATTGGACACCTGTCATGCGTCATTGGGCATCTCACGCATAGATGGCGTTACACGTCATCTGTCATACGTCATTGGACACCTGTCATTGATGGGTTGAGCATCTCGCGCATAAATGGCGTAGATTTGTTTGGCGGTGTACAAACCTAACGGAATCTATGCGTCATTGGACAGCTGCCATTGATGGGTTGGGCATCTCGCGCATAGATGGCGCCGATGTCGCACCTGTCTGGTGTTGGCGTGGATTACGGGGGGCAACGTGTATACAGGGGTGCATCGAAAAATAGCGGATCGATGGACCGACGGTATATCGTTAAATCGTATATAGCAAGGCGTGACCTAAATAGCGTGGTGGGCTCCTCTGGTCGGTCGGTCGGTCGGTCAGAATGTCTCATAACCTGTATACGATGTACTGTTATTATTATACAGGATGATACCGTTCAAAATGAAAATAGTATAATGGATATTTTATTGAAACATATAGTATATATAACAATAAGGTTGATTGGTGTGTGTGTGTGTGCCATGTTTTGAATACCCGCGCTTGAACAACTTGCAACAAGAAATTCCGACAATATTATTTCGCAAACCAGAGGTATTTTCAATAAAACTACATATCAGGGAGTACTTTAGATGTTGATACTAATCGACTCAAATCATTGTTCGACAACTGATTTGGTTCATGACAGACAAGAATCAAATTATGTATTTCACGGTTCAGTTCTGGTTGTTTTTTAATTTTTTCCCTAAACTTCAGGTAACCCAGGAAATATGTCTCTTATCCGTCCTCTGTTCAACACATCAGTAAAATCGTTAGAAAATTCTATATATGACATATTATTATAAAAGGTATAGGACCGTCCTGCGTTTGATTGAAAAATAGCATTGATTCGAGCCCTATCGGGTATATCAATTGAAAAATTATCAAGAAATTTAATGGTAGGGAATGATGCTGAGAAATAGTTGTTTGGAGACACAATGGTAATCGAGTCACCGTTTGTTGATTGGAAAATATGTTGTAAAGTGTATTGACGTAATTCTGTAGGAACATAATCGACAAGAAGTTCAGGCTGAGATGGGATAATCATTTCGTTTAAGTCTAGTTTCCATATAAACATATCATGTGCAATATATAATCGGTAATTTGAAAACTCTGGAGCAATGGCTAAAAACATAAAATCTGGAATAATATCACACAAATTTTTGAGGATCGACTGCTTACGAGTTGTAGATCTTATAGTTGTTGTTGTTTTTGGTATTGCTGATCCGGTGGTAGACTTTGGGATTGAATCATATTTGTTTTTTCTTCCATATAGATATTGTACTGCATTTATATCATCAACATCTAGACCACGAATCTCATGCTGATAGAAGG